GGAGAAGCGAGGCGCTCCGGACCTGGACTGGGACTGCCCAGGGCGAAGTAGGGGTACAGCTACTGCCATAAAGGCTAAGAAGCCTGCCAGGGGCACTCTGGACTAATGACAGTGGGCACAGGCCGTGTTGCAGGACCCATTCGCGACGAGGAGGAAGGTGCTGCTCTCATCCAGGTCCATTCCGCTCGCTGCCGCCGCTGGGGCACAGAATCCGCCCTCCTACCCCGCCTTGCGGCCCCCCCCCCACACACACACACTGGGTGGATGGGGAGCTGAGGCCTCTTTCCTCCCAACGCAGTGTTTATGAGAAATGAAACTGCACAAGGCATCAGCGGCAGCCCACACTGACACCCTATTCCCCACTCCGGGGTTCCGGAACAGCCCGGGGCGCTCGAGTCTCTTCCTCCTCTCTCAATGGCAGGGCCCCCTAGTGCTTTCCCAGTCAGCTGCAACCTCCCACTCCGCATGTAGGATTTTTATAACTGCATAATGTTTATTCTGCTGTGTCATACAGCATTTTTTGCCAGCGCTGTGAGGGGAGAGGGGATAAACTCGTGCCCCAGAGTATCCCCAGGGCCAAACCTGGAGTTGACCCAGAGCAGGAGTATGATTTGTATTTGTTGAATGAATTAAGAAACGTCTTCCTTTCTCTTGAGCTTGAACTTGCAATCAGGGTGAAGCCGCCTGGATTCTATCGTCCAGCTTCTGGATGCTTTTAGATGATCTTATGCCTGACTTGTGCTCTGCCTGCCTCCCAGGTTTGCTGGGAAAATAGAGATAATGGACCGGATTGGTGTGGCTCAGTTGGAGCATGGTCTGGTGGGCGAGGGCCGGCTGGTTCCATTCCCAAGCGGAGGCACATGCCTGGGTTGTGGGTTCGGTCCCCAGTTGGGTCATTTTGTGCACAAGGGCCAATTGATCCATGTTTCGCTCTCACATCGGTGTTTCTCTCCCTCTCTTTCTTCCTCTCTTCCCCTCTCTCTAAGAATAAATAAATGAAAACTTAAAAAGAAAAGAAAATAGAGGTGCTGTCTGGGAGGAACTTGGAGCATCTAAGAGAGCCCTCCCTCTGAACCTGGAAGGCTGGAACGCCTGCCTGGGCTTCATCTGCTTTAGGCACTGTGACCACTTCCCTGGGCAGCAGGCCCCGCTAGGACCCCGGGGTGCCCTACTCTCAAAAACCTAGTAAAGCCTCCTCAGTCCTGCACCTCAGAACTAACTTGGACCCACCTAGAGGGGAACGGTGTGTTCTGAGAGGCCAAGGGAGGGAACAGAATTTGGTCCATCAGGGAAGAGGCTCCCACAGGGCTCGTCTTTGCCTCCAGCACCGTGACTGCCAGGCAGTCAGCGCCCCCTCCGGCTGAGGACAGCCCAGGGCCCAGTACAGAGCAGCTACACCATGCTCAGGGAATGACAGCGTAGATGGGGGGCTCCCAGGGTGCCTCCCTGCTCCAGAATTGAGACCCAGCTAACTCCAGCTGTAGGTGTAACTCAGGTCTCTTGCAGAAAAATGCAGAGTTCCCCAGCAGGTCACCACCCAGAATGTGATACTCAGAGAAAGGGCAACATGAAAGTTAAGGGTGAGGGGCTCCTGAGGAGGGGAATGACTTCTAGCTGGCTGCTTTGGGGGTACTTTGGAAAACAGGCGTTTGCTCTGGGCACTAAAATGGAGACTGAACTGGAAGTGTGGGGAGGGGCAGAGAGAGGGGGAGAACTGAAGCTGGGGGGGAGGAGCGGGGGAGTATTGCTAAGTCAGGGTTGAGAGCAGAGACATGGGGGTGAGGGGAATGCAAGATGTGCTCACAGAATGGAAATGCAGTGAAAGAGTCATGCACTTCTGTTGATAATACAGTGTCGTTTGATTGATGTTTTATAGTGCAGCAAGGAGTTCGACAGTCTATAGAATGTCATTTTCATACCAAGTAGGAGAGGGACTAGAGTATCTCTGATTTTCAGATGAGAACACTGAGGCTCAGTGAGGGGCAGAAACGTGCCCAAGGTCACAGGCAAAAAAATAGCAACAGCTCAAGAACCCGGGCTTTTGGATGAAAATTCTGTGTTCTCTTCCACTGCCCTCGAGTTATTGCCAAGGGCAGGGGAGCTGTGGGAGAGGAGGTTAGAATGGGACCCTCAGGACCAGAGTGAGCAGCGATTTGAATGTGGGGCTGAGGAGTCAGGGAGAACTGGGAAGGCTCCAGGGTGAACCTGAATGCCAGGGGGAAGGTCCAAGTTAGAGAGGCACCTGGAAGGGTGGGCCCCAGGGAGGCTGTGGCATCTCGGTCTGCTCCTGGAATGTGAAAATACGGCTTGGTATAGTGGAAGGAAACCCCAGAGGACCAGGTGAGGCAAAGAGAGATGGGCGATGACCAAGGCTTCAGGAGAGAGGGAGCTGGAAATAGGCAAGAGAAAGCTTCTGGGCACAGTATGGGAGGGGAGGCCGGGAGTTCTGCTTGTATGAGTGTGACTCTGCGGGTAGGGTTCTAGTGGAGGGCCCAACCCTTCCCTAGGGACAGAGGTCCACCAGACCTGGAGTTTGGACATCACCTGCCCAGAGGGGTTGCCTGCAATCACAGAGGATGAGTATTTTGAGTCAGAGAGGAAAAAGGACCAGTCCTGAATTACTAAGAAAAACCTAGGGAAGTCTCTGTGTTCTGCTGAGTCTCACAGGGAATATGGGATACATCTTAGAATAGGCAAAGGTCAGGAGCAGTTACAGTAAAAGTTTGAGGTACTTCAACCAGGTGTAGCGTTCTTTCACCAATTTGGAGTATAGCACCCCCCAATCCTCATAAGCAGATTCTCTTACAGGCTTCAGAATACAATAGAATCCCTAGAGTTCTATCCCTAGAAGGTAAAAAAGAAAAAAAAAAGTCAAAGAACACTTGAGAGACGTAAATGACAATTTCCTTGGTAAATCCTAACATTGGGGAATTTCTCCTAAGCAAAAAATTATCGATGGTGCAAAGACTTAGCTACACCATGTTGTATGCATTATGAAAAAATGGAAATAACCTAAATGTCCTATGATAGGGGATTAATTGGGTAAATTTTTATTTATTCTTATGATAGAATAAGATATACCCATTGCAAATGATATTGCAAAAATACATTTCACCACATGGAAAGAGGCTCATTAAATATACAGACACATTTACAGGTGATTTTCTGTTTTAAAGCATGTTTTGCAGTCTCCTGTTGCCTTCACGGGGTCATTTTGGTCAGTTTGTCAGACCACATGAGATGCACACTTCCTCTCCCTGATCTCATTCTGAATTTTCCAGTGGCTGTGTCAGGTTCTTAGGGAGAGGACCTGCTGCACATAGAACGGACCTCCCAGCTCAGGAGCCAGTTGCTTCTGCTAGTTTGCTCAGGGGGTCTTGGTCTCTGTGGGGGGTCCCCATTCTTATGTGTCGCTCAAAACACCCAACCATTCCTGGCCCTCACTCAGCACGGCCCATTTCGCTGAACACCCAGCTGGGTTCATTCCTCACAGTTCCTCCTGCCTCTTTGCCTCTCCCGGCTCCTGCACCCACCGCCCGAATTGACTGAACCCATCCGTTTCCTCTCTGGGAGGGAGGAGGTGGAGGGACTGAATGGTGGAAAGCTGCATCCATGTGTCTATTTATAGCCTGCATTGTGGCCACTGGGTGCTGCCTGAGGGAGAGTTGGGTGAAGGGCCTGATGCACCGTCCCTGCGAGACAGCCTTTATTTACTTCTGAGTCAGCACCTTTAGGGAAGTGAAGGAAGGAGCCTGCTGGGGCCGAGTTCTGGGTGGAAAACGAACACACAACCCGGCCTCTAGCAGCACACAGGTAAAGCAAGATCTAGTTGTAAACGCAAAAGTTAACCAGCTGCCCTTCCCAAGGGGCCTGGGACCTGGGCTCCCCAACTCTTTGGCTATGGCCGTGGTCAGCCCTAAGAAATTCCCCCATGCTGCCCAAAACGTCTCTGGGCAAAGCCCTGAGAACCCAGAGACAACACCCACGCTTCCACTGCGGAGCTGTCACGCAAGGGCCCTCGTGAGGCTGTGGAGGTGGCCCTAAGGCAGGAGTTCTAGGAGAAACCCGAGGCTGCCCCCCCCCACCCCAACTCAGCAGTCCCTTCTTTTCCCTTTCCCTGAGGCCAGCCGCGGGGCAGTCCCAAGGAAGTAGACCGAGAAGGGGGAGAGGCGTCTCCGCGTCACTCTTAGACCCTGGCTAGGGATTTCGCAAACCACACAGCATCTGCTGCTCAAGCGGGGCACGGTGCTCAACGGATAACATCTCTCTGCCACTGTAAGCCAGCGAGGTAGGGTGGTTATTTTGCCGCCGAAGTAGTGAAGTCCCGCGTCCCTCGGCGAGCGGCGCCAGCCGCGCCAGTCTGCGGTTGCCTGTGGCCAGGCGGCTCTGCAGGCAGAGCAGGCTCTCCTTTGCTTCCCCGGGGCAGGTGAATATCCTGCAGGTGGGTCACCCTTCCAGAAGGAGATGTTGTGAGGGCTGAACGCCCCCCCGCCCCCTTCTGGACATCCCGCCAGCGGGCTTGAGGAAGCAGGCTGGTTTTCAGGAATTCAGTCCCGGCGGCCGCTCTGAAGAAGGCGGCAGGTGCCCGGCTGGCCCCTCACCTGCGCTCCGGAGACACACGCCTTCACTCTCGTCCTCTCCGCGCCCCCCCCCCGGCCCCCGAGGGGAAGAAGAAGAGGTGGCCTCCGGGGCGAGTGGGCTGGGAGAGTGGGGACCCGGGAGTAATTGCGGGGAGGAGCGTTCGGCTCTGCGGGGCGGCCTTTCTCGGGGACCAGCCGGGGTGGGGGTGGACTGGGAGCCGCGGGCGGGGGGGCGGGTGCCGGCCGGGCGGCGGCGGAGGGGGTGGGGAGCACCGGCCGGCCTGTACTTCCCCTTCGCCGCTAGCTCTACAACAGCCTGATTTCCCCGAAATGATGGGGCGGCGCTGGCCAATGGGCGCGCTCGCGGCCCTGCGGGGGGCGGGGCCGGCCCGGCGGGGGAATCCCGCTAAGTGTTTAGATCGCGGTGCGGCGCCGCTGCCGGGCAGAACGCGCCACTCCTTCGTGCAGGCTGGTTGTGCGCCGGAGCTCGCGGCGAGCAGAGGCCAGCGGGAGCCGTGTCCTAACAAGACCAGCCGTACTCTGGCTCCGCGACCCGGGCGTCCTCTGCCTGCTCCGCGTTCCCACCCGGAATCGCGCTCGCCGCCTCGGGACCCTCGGACGCAGCCTTCGAATCGCGCCCGCTGCAGAGGTGAGCCCGCCTTTGCCGCTGGGGGCACCGGTGGCATCGAACAAAGGCGCGCGGAGCACCAGGAAGTGGGGGCTGAAAACCCCAGGCGGGAGAGTCGCGGGCGCGCGGCGTTGCCTGGTCCCCGCGCGGGCTCGGGAGGGCGCTGGAGGAGCGGCGAGCTGCCGCGCGGGGAGGGCGGGCCGCGGCGTGGACCGCCCACCCGCCGCGGTTGTAGGCGCCCCACCGCTTTCGCAGATCTGTGTGCGCAGAGCCGCCCGGGGCCTTTCGCCGTCTGGGTATGACCGTAGCGCGCATCCATAAGCCATGCCCCGCACTCCAGTATACGTCGGTGCGTGGGTGCCCCGCGCTCCGGCCACAAGTTTCAGGTTGTTTGTGCAGGTGGCAGGAATTGAGACTTGCTACCCTGGGTGGCTGGTGGACCTGCCGGAGGAGCGGGAAGAGGTGCTGCAGGTGTTCTTTGGGTCATTTTGCCAAGGACCGGAGCCAGGCCGCAGGGAGAAAGGGTTAGCCTTCAGGCCTCTGCGCTGTGGCTGTCAGGGAGTCGGAGAATTAGTGGGCAGGGGTTGGGGAGAGGATGTCTCTGGGGCAGGGCGACTCCTCACCCATTAGGGAAAGTGCACAACTAGGGCAACAACTCAAGTAGGGAGATTTCTTGGCATCAAGCAAAAGAAGCCTCTCTCTTCCCGAAGGTTGTGAATTCGGGGAGAAAAGTTCTGGTATTAAGATACCTGTGTGTTTTGCCTCTTTTTCATCCACGTACAACCTGCAACTATCACTTGTATGCTTGTCTCCTTCCAGAACTGTCCAGGAGGGGGTGAGGGAAGGGGCAGAAGTGGTTTTGCCTAAGATGCTGAAAGATTTGGAGAACAGTTTTATTTCAGTAAAGGCCTCCTTCCCCATGATTGTAGAGCCTGCCACCTGGCTGAGGGCAGGGGAGGGTAACTGGATGACCTGGGGTGGGGCAGGGTAGTGCCAGGGGCTGCTCAAACAGACTCCCAACAGGAGCCTTCTGTCTTCTCTTTACAGCCAACATGCCCATCACTCGGATGCGCATGAGACCCTGGCTAGAGATGCAGATTAATTCCAACCAAATCCCAGGGCTGATCTGGATTAATAAAGTGAGTGTAACTCTTTGGGTTTTCTGCTCCATTTCAACCCATATTCTTTGGGGGACCAAAGCTTCAGATGCAGCTGAAAAAGGGAAGTGATAGGGAGGAGACAGATGTTTCCCAGTGGGTTCTGCATGCAAGGCCCGGTCCTGGGCCCCACCTGCCTGACTTTTCTGCCTTCCTCTCTTCTGGAGGCAAGGACAGGGTACCCACTGGAAGGCACTGAGTTTCCAACAGCTGGACGCCCCCAGCACCTGAAGGGCTGGAGTTCTAGTCTCTCCTCCAGAGAGGAAGAGTCCTAGAAACACACAGTGTCCTGCAGGGCTCCAGTCAGACAGATGGCACTGCTGGCAGGAGGGTGACTGGCTCCCCAGGTGACCCAAGAATCAACCTTGCATCAGTTGCCCAGACCTAAGAAGTCTCTTGCTGGTGCCTAAGGGGCCATACAGACCCTGCAGACTTGGTAGTAACAGTATTCATAATATCAGCTGCTGTTATTTACATTGTGTTATTTAATCCTCAGAATAGTCCTATGAGGTAGAGCCTATTAATCTCTGCATTTTCAGCTAAGGAAACTGAGGCACTGAAAGGTAGATAATGGCTCTGATGCCAGGACTTGAACCTGAGTCGCCTGACTCCAAAGTCCATACTATTAACTACCAGTAATGAGAACAGTAAGACTTTAGTCTTTATATTTGTCACTTTGTGTGTTCTCATTTTGCAGAAAACAGTGAGGGATGAAAAGGTACAGTAACAGTGGCAGGATTACACAGGTAGTCAGCATCCAAGTCTGGCCCAGGGCTTCCTCAGGTGTATGGCCAGAAGCCCCATGTAGGAGCCGGTAGCCCCAGGTGTCCTGAGCAGCCCCATCTAATGGACAGAGTTCTCATTTCCATGCTGGTGCTGACAAACCAGAGAAGCATCCCAGTGAGCACATTTGTAACAGGCAGAGGGAGGTCTTCTCCGAGCTGGCGGTGCCACCGTGCATCAGAACCCATTGCCCCTTTTGAGAGATCCGGACTGAGGCAGCAGCCTGTTTAAGCCACTCTCCAGATGGGTCAACCCAAGCCAGCTGTCGGGGTGAAAAGGGGAAGTCAGGTTTTCCCAGACCTGGGGGGCTGGGCAGACTCAGGCGACAAGCCTGCGGTCCCTGAGCTGACACGGCCTTGTGTGCATGTGTGTGCTGTTCAGGAGGAGATGATCTTCCAGATCCCATGGAAGCACGCCGCCAAGCATGGCTGGGACATCAACAAGGATGCCTGTCTGTTCCGGAGCTGGGCCATTCACACAGGTGTGTGACTCTTGCCTGGGAGGAGCCAGAGAGGGGACGAGGGGAGGTGCCTCTGTGAATACAGAGGTTCTTCCTTGGGCTCCCTGGCCCCCTTGATGGTGTGCGGGATCTGGGGCTGGGCAGGGGGCAGGCCTGCCCGTGTTTCCCGGGAGAGGGGCCATGGCTTCAGGGAGTTCATGGCTGGATACGAGTTCTTTCTGGCAAAAGCAGCTGTGAGCTGTGATATTGAAAGAGACTCAGGCCTAAGTTTTCTCGATGTTGACCACAAGGTCCTTGGCCCAAAGCCCATCTGGTTGGTGGCCTCCTTTCATCCTAGAAGGCCAGGGCTCTCGGGCCATCTCGGACCAGTCAGCCTACCTGTCGGTAATTGCTCTTTGATGGCAACTCTGTGCCCACCACCATGTTCAGCCTGTTTCTACCCTCTGGCTGCTGATAGCTCCAGAGGGGAGTCTGGCCGTGGGTCAGGACCAGGGTGCTTTGGACATATGGGCCTCTGGTGCTTCCGGCCTGGCTCTCCAGTGAGGCCTGCCGGGTTGTCTGGACATAAGCCTGGGCACTTGGGAAGCCCAGGGTCCAGGGCCTGAGGAATATCACTCAGGAACACCTGCTCGTTTGATCAGTAAGGGTCTCTGGCAGCACAAGAGCCCAGGAAACTCTTGCCTTCCTCCTCCCAGGCCAGGGGGCAGCTGAGGATCCCCGCCTATGGCCCTGACCATCCTCTTCACTCTCCTGCCCACTAGGCCGGTACAAAGCGGGGGAAAAGGAGCCAGACCCCAAGACATGGAAGGCCAACTTCCGCTGTGCCATGAACTCTCTGCCGGACATCGAGGAAGTGAAGGACCAGAGTAGGAACAAAGGCAGCTCGGCCGTGCGGGTGTACCGGATGCTCCCACCCCTCACCAAGAACCAGAGGAAAGGTATTCAGAGACTCTGGGTGCTCAGGAAGCCCTCAGGGAGGGGGCTCCCCTGAGAGGAGGGAGAGAGGCAGGCAACTGGGGCTGGTGTGCCTGTACCAAGACTGATAGCCTGTCTCCACCCACAGAGAGAAAGTCCAAGTCCAGCCGAGATTCGAAGAGCAAGGCCAAGAGGAAGGTGAGTGTGGTTCTGGGCAGCTGGCCTTTGGCCCCCTGCGAGTCGGGCTGGCGGTGGAAGAAGCACCATAGCAGCCCGGCCTGAGCTCCTCTCTCTCTGCAGTCCTACGGGGACTCCAGCCCTGACACCTTCTCCGACGGCCTCAGCAGCTCCACCCTGCCCGATGACCACAGCAGCTACACAGCTCAGGGCTACATGGGGCAGGACCTGGAGGTGGAGCAGGCCCTTACTCCAGGTGAGATGGGTGGGCCTGGCGGCGGCTGGTGGGAAAAGAGTGGCCTTTTCTCTGAAGTCTGGGAGGCATTGTGCTTTTGGGGGCGGCCTATTGGAGCAGGCTGCAGGGGAGCGGGTGCGGGGTGTCTTGCAAACTAAGAGAGCACAGGGCTCTGACCTGCGGACTCTGCTCTCCTGAAGCACTGTCGCCGTGCACCGTCAGCAGCACTCTCCCCGACTGGCACATGCCCGTGGAGATCGTGCCAGACAGCACCAGTGACCTGTACAACTTCCAGGTGTCGCCCATGCCTTCCACCTCTGAAGGTTCGTTCTGCTGGGGTCCGGCCTGCCTTCCCGACTGTTTGGGTCTTGGCAGGATAGGGGCCTCTTGGGGGAGAAAAGGTGCTCAGATCTCCCTCTGGTACAGCGCTGATTGCAGTAGGTGAGAGAGAAGAGGAAGGGGGTTGCATTTCAGTCTAAGGTTGCTGGTTGTCCCGACTCCTCTGCAGCCCAGGGTGAGGAAGGAAGCGAGGGGGGTGGGAAGAGGTGGCTGAGTCACTAGGTCAGTGATCTGTTCTGGAATCTCCAGGGCAGGCAGGCAGGCAGGCAGCTGTCCACCGGGAGGCGTGTGTGTGTGTGTGTGTGTGTGTGTGTGTGTGTGTGTGTGTGTGTTTGAGAGTATATGTAGGCAGGGGCAGGGGGACCTCATGGGGCTGGAACTGTAGGGCAAGCCTGGCTGACTGCCAACCTCTCTGCCATTCCCTCCCCACAGCCACAACAGACGAGGACGAGGAAGGGAAATTACCTGAGGACATCATGAAGGTAAATAAAGCCCCTTCCTCCCTGGGCACTCTTTAGAAGTAGCTGCTGCTCAGTGAGGAGAGGGAGAACCACTGAGAGCTTGCAGATGGGCTGTGAGCTGGGTGCTTGCATAGTGCCAGGTCCACGTGGCGGGGGCCATTGCCCTCCTTGGCTGGTGGGACAGATGTTGTGGCAGTGAGGACAGGAGGGAGGCCTGGTTCCCAGCAGGCTGTCCTGAAGCAGGCCTCAGGGCCTCAGAGCTCTGAGTCAGCTCTGCGGGACCGGTCCCTGGCCCCTGGCCCCTGGCCCCTGGCCCCGTCCTCCGCCCCAACATGCCCCAGCCCTGCTGGGCTGAGAAATGCGCATCAGGTTTCAATAATCAGCCTGGGGATCTGTAATATGGTGGCTTTTTTTTTTAAGCAAATTAATCCTCTAGGGTTGTTTTGGGTTTTTTTTTCTGCTTCAGTTTAAAAAGTCAATATAAAAAAGTCTTTACAGTAGTTGTACAGAAAATTGAGCAAACAAAATTGAGACATGGGCATAGTTGCTTATTTCTAGCTTTTCTGGTTATCTTTTCTTGACTTATTTATTATGCTAGCCGTTGTTCACAGCCACATTCCCAGTTGTCATGCCCTTACCCAGCTGACAGGAGGGTCTTGGACATTTGGTGCCAGGGCTGGATGTGGGAGTGAGCGTCCAGGGCCCTGTCCTAAGTGAACTCCTCCCCAGTGGACGTCCAAACATGTGAAGATGGCCGAGGGTCCAGGCAGGGGGGCTTTGGCTCACTGGGGGCAGGGCACAGGCTGAGTCTGCGCTAGAAGTGAGCTGATGGCCTCTTGTCTCTCTCTGTCCTCAGCTCTTGGAACAGGAGCAGTCAGAGTGGCAGCCAACAAATGTGGATGGGAAGGGGTACCTGCTCAACGAACCTGGGGCCCAGCCCACCTCTGTCTATGGCGACTTCAGCTGCAAGGAGGAGCCAGACAGCCTTGGGGGTAAGAAGCCCCTGAGGGAGAAGGGAGAACCATGGGAGGGGAGGGTGGCTTGGGGGTGGGGCCAGGGAGCAGCAGAGGTCAAGCATCCCTTCTGCAGCTTAGCTGGGTACAGACAGCTTGCAGACTGGCTGCTGCTCTCATGCCCTTAGGTTTCCCTAAAGATGAGGTGTGTTGCGGCCATGGGGTGGACAGCAGAGACTGCTGTGTTCATGGCCTTCAGGTGTGGGGATTGGGGGAAATATACCTCTTCCCACCCCCTTATCCTCACACAAGCTTTTCCACATCTCCTAGGGGATATCGGGCTGAGCCTACACCGCGTCTTCACAGACCTGAAGAACATGGACACCAGCTGGCTGGACAGCCTGCTGCCCCCGGTCCGGCTCCCCTCCATCCAGGCCATTCCTTGTGCGCCATAGCTGGGCCCCTGGGCCCCTGGCCCCCTTTTGCTCTGCTAGGCGAGCGGGACCTGGCACCGGCATGGCTGTGGTGCAGAGAAGCAGGACTGCTGTGGGCCCCTTGACCTACAAAGTGTGATTCTACTACCAAGTGGGGATGGGGCCGCCCTCCTTGGGATGGTGGCTTCTCGGGGCCTGGCAGGTCAGGGTCTGGGCTCATCTGGCCGGGTGAGGCTGGTCCTGCCTCCCAGGAAGATGGGGTTCTGAGGCTAGTGGCAGGTGGAGGCCTCAGCCAAGAGCTTGCCCTCGAGGTTTTCCCTCTGAGCCCCACTGCCTGAAGAGGGTCTCCCTGTCGCTGAGCTGGCCTGAGGGAACAGACCCACGACCTCAGAAAAGCCCAGCACCAACCTGGGGGCTGGCTCTGCACTAAGAGACAATTGCACTAAGTAAACCCTGTTCCCAAAGATGCCTCCCTTCCCAGCTGAGCCCTGGGGACTGTTCCAAAGCCAGTGAAATGTGAAGGAAAACGGAGTCCTGTGGGACGGTGCCCCCCAGCCTCAGAGGAGCTCTGCCCCGTTCTCTGCTCAGGCCGAGGGGCTGGAGGGAGAAACATGGCACTTTTTCGTGTGGACTCGCCACGCCCTGTCGGAGGTGTACACTAACGTCCCCCGGGCTCCCAGCCCCTGCGTTTATTTATGCAGTGCCTTGCCCCGCGCCCACCGGCGCCCTCAGCAGGCCCGGGGAGGGAGTGGGGGTGCCTCAGTGCAACCTTTAAAATCGGGAAAACTCCCTAACCACTAAGTCATGTATGACCACAGACATACATGTGTGTAAATATGTACATTATCTTTTTATAAAAAGTGAATTGTTCTAAGGTGTGGCCTCTCATTTAGAGAGAAATTGTAGATGATTTTGCTTTCTGTGGAGGTAACCTGCTGGACTCCTTCTTGGCACCCTGCCTGAGCCTGACCGTGCAGTGAGGTGACATGCACTTTACTACAGAACCCTTTTCATGACCTTCATGGAGGAAGAAGGTGGCAGGAGGAGGGGACCACCATGGCACAGGGACGTGCTCCTGGAAATATAGACCCGCACCCTTGGCTTCAGAGCCAGGGCGATGAGTTGAATTTGGGCTCCTGGGGGCTGGGGAGTATTAGGTGTTGAGCTCTTTGGAGGAATGTGCCGTCGACCCTATGTCCTGCTGAACTCCAGCGCAAGTGCACTTGGGTGCTACTCCCAAAAGTTGACAGTTGGCACAACACAGTCATGGACAATGACAACAGACAGAGCTCAGGTGCCCTGAGGCCAGCTGCGTCCTCTCTGAGTGGTTCGGTATGGCAGGCAGGTGCCAGACCAGTCGCACGTGCCCACTGACTACCTGAAATGTGGCCGGTGCTGTGGAGGAAACAAATTTTAAATTTTGTTAGTTAAGATGTAAATTGTCACGGTACCATATTGGACAGTACAGGTAGATTCTGGACTGGGGGCAGGTCTGGGGGTGGGGTGGAGTGGTGAGAGAACACTGGGGTCAGGAGCTTGGGGCTATTTACCTGCCAATTCAAGAGTTTTTGCTCTTTTGCCAGCCAAGAAAAACCACCGGTGTTGAACACCAGCCCTGCATTGTACTGTGAAACAGGTCCGTGCACAAATGTGTTCGGAAAACCTTGGATGACCTTACAGGAAGCAGGCTTCCCTCCTCCCCATCTTTTCGGGGCCTGGCCAGGCTAACGCAGGCAGAATCTCTCTGAAAGGGTATATTGTATTAGAACGGTGATTTGATTTCAGTTTTCTGAAAACTCCAGGTTGGGAACCATCGGCATACGGCACAGCCCCCTTCAGATACACCCCCTTCAGATGAGGAATGTCTGAGGGTGAGAAATCTGGATGTGGGCCTTGCTCATGCCCTGCCAGTCTCTGGCCCTGAGGCATAAACAGCACCCTGCACAAGGTGGGTGGGCCAAGGGAAGCCAGCTGGTATTGCCGGCATCATCTAAGGATTCGGCCATGGCAGTAAGGGGGTTGCTCAGGGAAACCAAGCCCTGCTGACACATCTTCCGTATCCTAAGTCCCAGAAACCACTTGCACTGTGATCCGCTCTTGGGACCCAACCCTCAGGAAGAAGTGTGGGGAGTGGCAGATGGCCTCCTGCTGGTGGGGGAGGGGGTTACCCTGGTGCACGGATGCCTGGGGAGACCCCTGTATGGAGCCCTGTCCATCAGAAGATCCACCTGGATTTTTTCAAGAGAAACCTCACCTCGGGGCAGAGGGATGGATACAATGCCCTTTCCCAGCTCCTCCAGGGCCCAGCCCTGGCTGAGAAGAATTGGATCAGGATAACAAGAGAGCCTCTTGTGGCTTCTAACAGGGGGTAGGAGGGTGGGGGGGTGCTTGGCAAGGTCTTCTAGCAGGTGGGTTTTCTAGATTAGGAGTGGCGGGGTGGTGTGCAGCCAGTGGAGGGGACTGAGGAAGGCTGGAAGGGAAGGGATGCAGCCCAGAGGGAGCAGGGACCGCTCTGGCTTCTCTCCCCTTGTCCTTCAACCTCACCCCCCACAGAGAGTATGTCAAAGTGGGGATGTTGAAGCCCCAGGTAGCTGTGGAAGCCTTAAGTTCTAATATGCAACGTTTGTCGCTTTGTAAGTTACCAAAATGGGAGAGGAATGCCAGCCATCAGCCCCTGGCTCCTAGAGCCCAGCGGGAGTCCTAAGCCCCTCCAGCTCTTCCTGCCCCAGGAGCCCTGAACAACTGGGCCCAGCTCCTCAGAACGTCCGGTCCCCCCACCCCCCTCACAGTGGAGCTGGGTCCCTGGGGCGGGGCCTGGGGGAGGAGGGCGGCTGAGAGCCAGACCCTCCAGCACAGGGAGCTGTCCCAAGGCACACCACTTCAGCCTGCGCCTAACGGGAGAACCAGTAGAGTCTGGCCACTCCCCCAAGGGCGCTGGCCACGGCACTAACTCAGCAGTCAGCAGGAGCCCCATCGGCAGGACAACAGCAATACGATCTGAGCCAAACTCAGCCATAGTGACTTCAGGTCATCCTTAGGACCTGCCGATGTGTCCGTGAGCCATTCCAACAGTTCCAGTCCGAGCGCTGGAGGTGGAAGCTCCTGACTGAGAGAGCTAGGAGGTCGCTGAGATCCCCCAATTGTTGGGGCTGGAATGATATCATGCCACCCAGGGCCACTTTCCAGTGGGGTAAACTGGCAAAGTGGGGCTTGGCCACACCAGCCAGGGCTCCCACCACATCTATAGATGTTCCAAGGCACTTCTGGTTAGTTACAGGTGTTCCTCACCATACTCCAAAGGTGTCACCGTAACTCATTCAGCTCCTTTGGCAATAGGAAGAGAGCTGGAGGCTGACATGCTGGCTGCTCATACAGAGCTTTTCAGGGAAGATAGATGCAAACTCTCCCTTCTTGGTTTGTGGGTTTTCAACAGCTCACAGTTGGAAGCGCACACAGAGTGAGCGCTCTCTCAGGTCACTCTGGAAGTCTCCGGTGGGGACTGCCAAAGACAGAAGTCCTAGGAAAAGTCCCGGTCCTGGTCAAGGTGGAGTCCTTGCCTCTGGGAGCGACGACTCTGGGCTGGCAGAACTGGTCACACCCAAGTGGTCATTCTCTGGAGCCACTTGGCCTTCTTTTCACAGTTTTCACAGACCCCAGAAATCCTTGTCTTGTACTAGCGGGGAACAAGGAGCCCTGCTGGAACATCCAGGAAGCTTTTGTTGCTGTCAGACAGAATGTCCTTTCTTCACTTGGGCCCGACTAACCCTCCATTGTGCAGGAGCCTGAAATTCATCTGAACACTCTGCTGACCTTTCCCGCTTGTCCCAGTGGTCACAGGGTGAGGAGCCTGGGGAGGGGGGAGGGGGGGCTGGTGTGCTCTCCTTTTCAGAGTGAGACTTGCCTTTGTCAGCCAGGACACCTGTTTGGGAGGCCAAGTTCGAGGCAGCACAAGGGAATAGCTGGCTGGCCATGTGGCTTTAAGTCTGGGCAGCTCCCATATACCCTTTTTTGCTGATTTTTCTGGGGCTGGGGAGTTGAAAATGATGCCCCCACTTCTGCAGGCTCTGGGGTGAGGCAGATGTAGAGAGTCCTTGCTAAGACTTTAATTTCAGCGGAGGTGATTTCGGCAGAGGTGATAGTGAAGGTAGTGGAGCAAGGACACGGGGACCGAGCGAGAGGAGAGGCAGACGTCCAGCCTGCCATCCCTAACACAGCTCCTCAAGCTCAGAAATGGGTGGAACTGGAAAGGACTTCACCGTCTGGCTGGGTAATGACAACAAGGCCCTTGAGTGTTCCCCTTGCACCAGGCACCATGCCAAGCACCCCATATGCACCGTGGCACCAGCACCCACTGCAGCACCTAGTCACAGGCCAGGAAACCAAAGCTCAACGGGCTTGCCCAAGATGACTCAGCTAATCAGCGGGGGGCCTGGATTCCAACCCACGTCTGCCTGTCCCGGAGCCCAGACTGCTTCCGTGTTATCAGGCTGTCTGCTGAGAGGGACAATGAGGCCTGGGGAGGAGGTTCGGGAGAGCTTGCCAGGGAGTGGGGCACTAGCACTTCACGGCGATAAAGCCTTCGGGGGGGGGGGGGGGGGGCGGCCCGGGACAAGGCAGCTAAAGCTGCAGCTGCTCTGTGCACTGCAGGGACACGCCCCTGCCTTCACCCTTGTGACCTCCCCTTGCCCCAGGCGGCAGAGCTCTGCTGCTACAGTTCCCAGGGCTCCAACAGGGAGGGTTTGTTTTGGTTTTCAAGGGGACAGATGCCTCACCTATGCCCTGGAGGCCACCTGCCGCTTGGAGAGGTGGGGGCCCGGGGAGGTGAGATACAGGCTGCCTGTCACTTGGCCTCAGTTCAGGCAGCGCTGCCTGTGAGCAGGACTCTGCCTGCTGGCCCTTATCTCAGCTCCAGGGATCAAAGCGGGCTTTTCATCACGTCTGGGTGTTTGGGCGTCTGTCTGAGCAATGTCACCAGGGTTCTCCAGTTCCGCTCAAAACCAGACCCTTTGTGAGGTCCTGGGGTCCTCACAGGGCTGGACTCTGGTGATCGTACCAGCCAGGACCACTTGGGGGTGCACCCCAGCCCCCAGCCACGTGGCTGGGGGATCGCCCTGTGGCTGTCCTGAGTCTGATTCCTGCTTCTTGGTCCCTGAGAACACCCAGCATCTGACAGCTGGCTGGTTGCTGCCCCACGGCAGGTGGGCTTCCTGCAGAAGCCTCCCGGCCCTGCCCTCCGGACCCAGCTGAGAGGCAGGACCCAGCTGAGAGGCAGCGGGTTGGGCCCTCCCTTCTCTTTCTGGCCAAATGCCTTGCATTCACCTGGGGCCCCTTCTTGGTTTCTGCCCTCCACCTTTGCACAGCCAGGTGGCTGTGGCGTGTCCAGTGCTGCTCCCTCTTCTCATCACACTCTCAGTCTGGAATCTGCCCAGAGTGAGGGAGGAGCAGTGAGTCTGTCCACAACATCGAACTACGCAGCGACATGTTTGCTCAGAGAGCAGAAGGGGTATGCGTGGGCTGTTAGTTCAGGAGTGAAGTCGGTGGCCCAGGCCCCGGAGTCCTGGGGCGGGGGTGGGGTGTGGGATGGCGAGCCAGGCTTCTCTGAGAAAGCCAGCTTCATGGGACGCAGTGGTGGCGTTTGGGACTCTGGGGCAGACAGGGAGGGAGTCGGTATGCCAGAAGAGCTATTACTTTTCTAAAACGAAGAACATGTCAAGGAGTCCTGTCCCATTGGCTGTACCGGTGCAAGAGTGGGCTGGCTGAGGGAGGCTGGCCTTGGGTGAGGAGGTGAACGGTGGCTGCCTTGGCTTGGACGGAGGGTTCCGCTCCCTTCTCAGCTTTGCCCAGCTGGGAGGAGGGGCTGGAGGTCAGGATGGT